CTCGAATCGTGACGATCTCGATCTCCCAGAGAACACGAGGATTTATCACTAGTTCCGGGGGTCGCGATCGTTCGGAACAAGTTCGGGATTGTTGGCCACGCGTACTTTCGGTCGTGCGGAATCACCCGCGATTCGATCGTACGTCGTTGGCCAAACCAAATCCGTCACCCTCCTTAGATCGGCCCACATTGGCCCAAAATATTCTCTCGTCGTTTCTCGGAAATCGGGGCTCGATTCACGGTCGAGTTCTTGAGTCCACGTACCGTTTTCCTAGTTAGTCATTCCCTATTGGTCAGTATCCCGAGAATGATCAGTTTCGGACGAGACTTACTAAAACGAAATGAGAAATACATATCCATTTTATTGATCACGAAAGTGGGTCGAATTCAGGACGTTACAAGGAGGTTAATGAGGAAGAAGGCATTGTGTTCTTCCTAGATTTGGAAGAGGAGTTGAAGGCAGAGGAAAGAAGGAGTTGAAACCTAGATTTGGAATATTTTAGTGATTCTCAAAGTCTGGAGCTTCACGAGTAGGAGTTTCACGAGCAGCTCGCAACGATGGCGATTGAGCGAGCGTTGATGACCAGCGACGGTGAGTGAGCGATGAAGAGTTCCCTGAACAACAAAGAGCGAATCCTTCCCGTGCTTTGTCGTGTTGCCTAGACTTGGTACGACGTCGTTTTGCTTGAGGGAGCCACATAGGATTGTGTGACGTCATTTTGGACGTCCACATGGATTGGAATCTTTAAAAAATATGATAAGTCAGATAAAACTTTTATTTATAAAGGCCACGTAATCAATTTAGTCGGAATTTCTCGCCGGGGGCACTTAAATGATCGTTTTTTTTTCTAATTTGGCACTTAAGTGAGTCGGCGGAAACTTTGGCACTAAAGTGAGCGCCGTATACAACTTTTGGCACTTCTATTGTACTTCTCCCCATATAACGAGATATGTTGCTTCAACGTAGGCTTGCATTCTTTATTTCGAGCCATAGTTGTTGTCACCGAAGTATTGAGGCTTGCTAGGAGCTTGAGAGTTGCTTGTATAGAAACCACCAATGTTAGCCATAGATGAAGATTTTTATACTCAAAAGTAATACACTTCAAATAACAAGCAACAGAGCTCTGATACCAATTGTTGAGGTTAATCAAGCATTCTGGGGGAAGGGGTAAATAAGTTGTTTTGAAGATTTTGCGGAAATCTACAAGCAAATACTTGGAAATCAAGAGAAGCAGATATTAGGAATATCTAGAGATGCTTGTGTGCAAATATAATATAAGAGCGGAAGTAAAGGAGAATACATCAATATATAGTGGTTCGGCTTATTTAGAAAGTCTACATCCACTCTTTAGACTAACAGCCATAAGTTGGGCTGGAATGCACTGATAATCACCAAAATAAGTTACAATCAGCAAGCACTGTATAATAGATCACACTATTATGACTCAGATGCTGCTATCAAGCTTGTATACTTAATCTTCTCACAATGACAAGGCAACAAGAACACTACTCTGGAAATCTCAAAGAATAAAACGCAATTTCCTCAAAATTTGACGAAGAACACTTTTAGTTTGTACTAGATAATTTTCATCTCTTGCTCGTTTGACTTCAATGAACTTCTCTTAAATAGACATCTCCAATCTTCCCATTAGAGATTGTCCTAAGAGGTAAGTAATCTTTAGAGTCATTGCTAGCTACTGTTCTATGGCTAGACTGTCCAGGTAGTGTTTTCCTTCAAACATTATCAAGCTTCCCTGAATTAGGTGCTTCCACTGTTGTCACATCTGCGATGATTCTGACAAAAGCTGTTTCCGGTTCTCTGATGATTAGTGGTTTTTCTGCTGTGATGTTTTAACAGCCAACGGGCTATAATAAAAAAGTTAATGAACATACTCAGATGGTCATATCCCAGCATCATCTACGATATGATTTTCACGTAAGTGACATTGAAATCATCACTACCCGATTAAGATAGTTAGTTGATGCTGTTTACAAATAACTCGTACAAGGACATCTCGCGATATTCTTCCAATGAATGCATCATGGATATCACATAGTCCTTAATGATCATCACAAACATATGTACTTATCATAATAGATATTACACCAAAGATAGTTTGAAAATCATCAAAATCTCTAGGGATGTTTCTCTAATAGTTCCCACTCAAATTACTATAAAAGAGGGCCAACTTTCTAAGAGATGATAGATGGCCCACAGTAGCAGGAATAGGACCTGAAATTGAGCTCCGTGAAAGATCAAGTAATTCGAGATCTTTGAATTCCCAAATTGATTGGGTAGTTGACCACTGAAATTGTTGTTGGAAACATCAATAGTCTTCAGGTTACTTTGTCTACAAATCAAAGAACCGTCCTTGGTGTCGAAAATCCTCCCACTAAATTGGTTATAACTCAAGCTTAGTACTTGCAGATTGCATAAAATGCTCAAGGCTTTCAAAAGTTCACCTTCCGGCCTGTTTGCAGAGACATCAAGGAATCTAAGCCACCAACTATTTTCAAGGATGACAATGGAGAATATGCCTTGGAGATCATTATAACTCAAATCAAGATGTTCGAGTTTGCTAAAGTTTTGATACCAAGGTGGAATAGATGAATTCATGGAGTTAAAACTCAGATCGAGGAATCTAAGAGAAGTGAAATTGACTTGTAGAGAGGTTGAAATATCTCCCAAATCACATTCCCTTAATATTAAAAACTCCAGGGAGGAAAGCATGTTGATAGGACTGAACCATTCTTTGGGGTTGAGAACGTGGACATAAGATAGGTTTAAGTATTTCAAGTTAGAAAATGTCAGACATTGGAGGTTCTTTGTTTCTAAAGAGAGCCACGACCAGGTTCACGCACTAAGAAGATTTAGGTATCGTAAGCTGGAAAGGTTACAAAGTTGATGAGAAATATCTCCATAGAAGCCTACATGTGAAAGGTTGAGATACTCTAGTTTCTGAAGAGAAGCTAAGAACTTCGGGATTTTTTGGGTTGAAAAATTATTGAAACTAAGGTTGCAATACTTCAAATTCTTCAGTTCTTTTAGACTTGGATGTATCTTACCCCCAGACTGCACTTCTCTAAGCCATCACAAGGATTACGAAGATCGAGCTTCGAGATGTGACCAGTCTTCTCACTACATTTGACTCCTTCCCACTCGCAACAACCCTTGCTGGTCCACGACCACAGACGTCTTGAAGATCCTTCTTGAACTGGAGAAGAGCTTCAATCTCAGCGGCAATGCAGCCTACATTTGTTAAGGCTATAGAATGACTGAATTCCAAGGCTTGAATGACAAAGAGTGCACATAGAAGTGTAGGCAAGAAGCTAGTGTAGAAGTACGACGCCATTGTTGCTAAAAATGACCTGAGAACTTCTGTTCATATATTGGCCAAAAAAAAAAAACGCTTCACTTAAGGAAGATACAATTTTCTTTCTTTTATTTATACGGATCTTGGTCTTGATTCAAAAAAAGAATAAAATAACAAAAAAGAGGACGCTAACATCTGTTCAAAGTCCTTTGCTCTGATCGCTGGCCACCTAAAGCAACTAAAACATTTCAAGTCATGCCTTGTAAGACCCGTGATCAAATGGTCAAGACATCAATTGCAACCAATAACAATTGTGTCCATCACGTTGGGGGCACGAAGGCAGTGTAAAAGCAAATGTTTTTCCATGGTTGGACAGTGAGATGGATGCTCTTTTCCATGGTCCCCCCTTTTACAGCTCCAAGTAAGAACTTCTGAAATAGTCTTCTTCTTTGTTTTCTATATTGCAGTCAACTTGTCATTGTCACCATTTTGCAGGAGATCAAGAGTTACCTGAAAGTTCAAAACAAAACCATCAAAATCACAATTTGCAGGTATGTTATTTCCTTACCATCTTGACATATACTTCATCATTTTTCGTATTTGTTTGTTGTGAATAAATTCTTTATTTAGTTGTCTTTTATAACCCTTTTTTCTTCCTTCAAATTAGTTCATTTAGAAAGGAAATGCTATGAAAAGAAAATCTTCTACCAATTCTTTTATTTACTTTTAAAAATTGTTCAATAAATAATAGGAAAGATTAACTATATTATGTTTAATATAGAACATATAACATTCAATAAGTTAATGAAGTTAGACGTGAAGCGCACATATGTTCCCTCGCTCTATCTAAAAAATTTAATCACGCACTTCTTCAAACAAATGAGAAGTAAATAAACCCAAACAAATTTGAATATTATTAAAGATGATGACCTTAAAAAATTTAAACAGTATTGCAAACCTTATGTATAACAATACCAACAAAAGGGTGAATGAAAATAACCAAAAATCGTAAGCAATCATCGAGAATTATACTATACAGTCTTTGTAAGAGTAAAGACATTAAAGAATTCCCACCTAACTAATTTAATGGAAAATGAAATTATGCATTCCTAATTCACAAAGCTATTGAACTTCCAGATCCTACTTGAAGTTGCTTCTTATTATAAATATAAAATAAAAAACATTGAAGCTGCTTCTGATCAGTCCCCTTTCCAGGAAACTAATGCGTACTCTCAGGCGTCTTGCTTTTCCTGTCAATTCCACAAACTCAAACTACGTTTTCTGATTGCTAATATCTATCAAACTTAGCGTCTTATACTGCCCGTTTTCATCATAAAATATAATTTATCTAACTTATAATTACGAGGGCTATTTACTATAAATTATTAGAGCTATTAATCATTTACTTTTCTTCTTGCGACTCACAAATGTGAGAACAAATGCTAGACACAATTAGTAACATCTACCAACAAAATAAATGAGCACGAGGAAAAGAAATTATGGAGAGAGAGAGAGAGAGAGAGAGAGAGAGAGAGAGAGAGAGAGAGAGAGAGAGAGAGAGAGAGAGAGAGAGAGAGAGAGAGAGAGAGAGAGAGACAGAGAGAGAGAGAGAGAGAGAGAGAGAGACAGAGAGAGAGAGAGATACAAAATAACCTCTTTTTTGTGTAGTTCGAATTGAAAAGCTCTCTTAAATCAAGGTATGGTAATTATCCTCACGATCGGCAATTTTTTCGATAACCCTATCCACCGCTCGAAAATAGGTGATCCTCCAAGGTTTCTTGAAATATAATATGCCACAGAATCCCAAGAATGCCACTACGAAACCCGCTCCTACTCCTAAGTAAAACCAAACAACAATGGAATAGCTTTCATTAGACTCATCTTCACTCGATCTGTGACCATCTTGTTTGTCCATATCGTTATGCTCATCTTCAACACAAATTTTCAAATGAGGAGCTCCACAAAGTCCATCATTGCCCTGATAAGCGGATTGATCGTCTAGAGTGCCCAGATGATTGCCCGATGGAACAAGACCAGATAAATTGTTGAAGGAAAGATCCAAATGACTTAGAAAGTCTAGATTGGCTATGCTAGGAGGGATTTCACCCGATAGCTTGTTATTGGATAGATCCAATGATTCTAAATCTCTCAAGTTACCAATATCTGAAGGGATTTTTCCGATTAGCTTATTTTGAGAGAGGTTCAGATTCCGAAGTTGAGCAAGCCAAGTCAGCCCTTCCGGTATTTGTCCGTCTAATGAGTTGCATGAAAGATCAATGGAAAATAAATATGGGAGGGTGGTGGTGAATTCTTGGCTTGTTCCTTTAATATTAACCATAATGGGAAACCTCGCCATGAATCCCCCACTCGGAGAAAAAGTGGAATTGGCCCACATCTGTGAGAAGTGTTTGAAACAATGAGGAATGCTTCCGAAAAGATTGTTGTGCGCTAGGCTTAAATATTGGAGATTAGTAAGATGACATAGCTGCAAAGGAATGGCCCCAGTGAAGTAATTTCTCTCCAAATTGATTATGGTAAATAATCGAGAGTGTCGTCCAAAAGGAGGTACTCTACCTGTGAATTGATTGTCACTGAGGTCGAGGTTTGCCAAATCTAGCTTTAGTAAACATTTTGGAAGCACTCCGTTTAAGACATTTTCATGTAGGCTTAGAGCTCTTAATTGCTTCAAATGGCATAGAGAGTTTGGAATCTGACCATTTAACATGTTGTCTCCCAACAAAATCCATTCCAAATTTGCTTGCGATTTCCTCCAACACTGTGGAAGTCTCCCAGATAGTTGGTTCTTAGAGAGATCAACAAAATACAGTCCATCTAACATGCATAATGAATTTGGAATGACACCACTAAGGTTATTTCTAGAAAGTAACACTTGCCTTAATGGTGACATATTTTTTCCAATAATTCGGGATATGTTGCCTCTGAGCATATTGTGCGATAGATCCAACTCTTCAATGTTAGATAAAATGTCAGGCAGCCAATGGGGAACTTCATCTGAGATGCTAGCATTTGACATGTACAACATCGAAATGTTCTTCTGAGTTTGAAGCCAATTTGGGAATTTTGGTCCCACTTTGCAATTGGACATGGAAATTGCTTGAATTTGGAAAGGAGGAACCCAAGATGCATTAACATTTATAACAAGCTCATTCGACCAAAAGTACAACTCGGTCAAGCTGGTGAGATTTGCTAAGTGAAGTTCGCTGACTACTCCATCTAATTGATTATCCCCAATGTCCATAATCTCTAGGTTGGATAGTTGCCCAATACTTTCGGGAATGTTCCCGCTCAAATTGTTAGAAAAGAGGGCCAACTTTCTTAGAGATGATAGTTGGCCCACAGTAGCGGGAATAGAACCTGAAATCGAGCTCCGTGAAAGGTCAAGTAATTCGAGATCTTTGAAATTCACAAATTGATTGGGTAATTGACCACTGAAATTGTTGTTGGAAACATCAATGGTCTTCAGGTTAGTTTGTCTACAAATCAAAGGACCGTCCCTGGTGTCGGAAATCCTCCCACTAAATTGGTTGTAACTCAAGCTTAGTACTTGTAGATCGCAGAAAATGCTCAAGTTTTTCAAAAGTTCACCTTCCAGCCTGTTTGCGGAGACATCAAGGAATCTAAGCCACCGACTATTTTTAAGGATGACAATGGGGAATATGCCTTGGAGATCATTAGAACTTAAATCAAGATGTTTGAGTTTGCTGAAGTTTTGATACCAAGGAGGAATAGATGAATTCATGGAGTTAAAACTCAGATCAAGGAATCTAAGAGAAGTGAAATTGACATGTAGGGAGGTTGAAATATCACCCAAATCACATTCCCTCAGTATTAAGAACTCCAGGGAGGAAAGCAAATTGATGGGACTGAACCATTCTTTGGGGTTGAGAACGTGGACATAAGACAGGTCTAAGTATTTCAAGTTAGAAAATGTCGATAGCCATATGAGGTTCTTTGTTTCTAAAGAAAGCCAGGACCATGTCCACTCACTATTAAGATCCAAGTATCGTAAGCTGGAAAGGTTACAAAGTTGATGAGAAATATCTCCATAGAAGCCTACATGTGAGAGGTTGAGATACTCTAGTTTCTGAAGAGAAGCTAAGAATTCCGGGATTTTTTGGTTTGAAAAATTGTTGAAACTAAGGTCTAGATACTTCAAATTCTTCAATTCTTTTAGAGCTGGATGTATCTTACCTCCCAGACTGCACTCCTCTAAGCCATCACAGGGATTACGAAGATCTAGCTTCGAGATGTGACCAGTCTTCTTGCTGCATTTGACTCCTTCCCACTCGCAACAACCCTTGCCGGTCCACGACCACAGTCGTCTCAAAGGATCAATAAGATCCTGCTTGAACTGGAGAAGAGCTTCCCTCTCAGCGACAATGCAGCTTACATTTGTTAAGGCTTTGGAATGACTGAATTCCAAGGCTTGAATTACAAAGAGTGCACAAAGGAGTGTGGGCATGAAGCTAGTGTAGAAGTAGGACGCCATTGTTGTTAAAAATGACCTGAGAACTTCTGTTTATATATTGGCCAAAAAAACACTTCTCTTTAGGAAGTTACAATTTTCTTTCTTTTATATATACGGATCTTGGTATTGATTCAAATAAAAAGAACAAAAAAAGAGGACACTAACACCTGTTCAAAGTCTTTTTCTCTGATCGCTGGCCACCTAAAGCAACTAAAAAAATTTCAAGTCATGCCTTGCAAGACCCGTGAACAAATGGTCAAGACATCAACTGCAACCAATAACAATTGTGTCCAACCAATAACAATTGTGTCCATTGTGGTGGGAACACAAAGGCAGTGTAAATGCAAATGTTCTTCCGTGGTTTGACAGTGAGATGGATGCTCTTTTCTACGGTCCTTCCTTTTACAACTCCAAGTAAGAAGTTCTAAAATAGTCTTCTTCTTTGTTTTCTATATTGCAGCCAACTTGTCAGTGTCACCATTTTGCAGGAGATCCAGAGCTACCTGGAAGTTCAAAACAAAACCATCAAAATCACAATTTGCAAGTATGTTATTTCCTTACCATCTTGATATATACTTCATCATTTTTTGTATTTTTTTGTTGTGAATAAATTCTTTATTTAGTTGTCTTTTATAACCCTTTTTTTTTTCCCTTCAACTTAGTTCATTTAGAGAGGAAATGCTATGAAAAGAAAATCTTCTACCAATTCTTTTATTTACTTTTATAATGAGAATTGTTCAATAAATAAAAGGAAAGATTTACTATATTCTTAGGCTATTTACTATAAACTATTAGAGCTATTAACCATTTACTTTTCTTCTTGCAGAGACGACCGAGGAATTGAGAGTGATTCAAGTTGATTTTAAGAAAAAAAATTACCGAAAAAGTCAATTTACCAGAGCCTCTGTATGACTACCCTCGAAGATGGCAAGTATAATGCTTTTTGACAAATCAAACGTCGTAATGACGATTATGCAATCATCCACGCGAGAGAAATCAGCAGCTCAAGAAGCGGCTGAACAAGGTGTTGAACAGCTGAAATGGCAGTACGTATTGACAATTATGATGTCAATAATAATGAAATGCAGCTGCACCGAGACAATGTTCATCGCCTTACTGCTGACTACAACAGACTCCAAGCTATGTATGATGAACTTCAGAGAAACCAGGCCATCAAAGTCAGTTCGTCGGAGGATGAGAATTTGGAAGACTAAACATGTCAATTTAGCTGTGGTGTTTCTTGAAGGGGGCCATGAGATGTAAACATGCACTTTTGGCAACCGTGGGTGATGTTGGGAATGAGGTGGATGATCTTCATGAAATGTAATGAAACACGACACCCTGTAACGTTCATATGACACGTACTATAGTACGATCAATATGTTCTACTTGCAACTATGATGTTTTTGTTTATCATCTATGATGCGTAACTTCATGAAAATTTTAAATCAGAAACTGTTCATTCATTGTAACTCAAAAGAAAGGGAAGAAAATAATCTAACCAATATATTCCACTAAGTCAAGCTTTGATCTTATCTCTTGGGTAAGTTCATTGTCTTGGTCAAGAAAAAAGACCTACATTCGCTCGGGAAAGAACCGAGGAAATTTCCATCTTCCCAGACCCAGCTTGTTTGGACCGAGGAAATTTCTATCTCCCCAGTCCCAGCTTGTTTGGAATTACTATCAACTCCAAGTCTGAAAAAGTTGGTCATATACCAGCAAGAGTAAACAACGACTGATTACTCTTAAGAAAATGAAATCCTGGTCATTGAAGTAAGCAAATCATTATTTAATTAAATGGTTAGGAGCGTCGTAAGAATTGAATAGGGAGACTTACTTTTAGACTCAAAATATTTTAACCTCGATGGTGACGGGATAATTTAGCTAATACATTGGATATTTATTCTAACAACTGAATTTATGTTGTTTTTTTGGATGAGAAGGTCCAAGTGGAACGGATATTGGCGATGGCGATGAGTTGGCTTCGGAATAAGTAAATTGCATATGGCAGTTGATTCGATATGACAAGTTCTACCTCCGGACGGAGATGGCACCCTCGTTGAGAGTGTCTAGAAACCTAAATGGTCTTTGTTTTGTAAGAAGAACATCCCCACGGCCTTTTGCAAGGTCCTCGTCTTCATCCACCAATGAGTTGGAGGAGTACTTGGGAACAGACTACCCCAAATACATTGATAGAGTTGAGGAAAGTAATGTTGCTCTCCTGACATGATGGAAGAGGAGAGCCATTAGTTTTCCGATTCTTTCCACCATGGCTGCTGACTTATGACCCAACCGGCCTTTACGGTACCATCGGAATCCACGTTCCATACTAGCAAACGGATCTTGGAAGACAATAGCCCGGCTTGTCTGCGGAAAATTTAGAAATTTGCTTTCGCAGTACTTGATTGGTTTTTTGTGAAAATTGACTCCAGAGGAACGTGCCTGACATGAACAAAAGGACAACGACGACATGTGGATTTCTAGCCCCTCCAATTCTCTTTTTCATAAATGATTCATAAGTTGGAAGCGAGGGTCTTCAACTAGATATATAAAGTTTATGCGAAATATAGGATCGCCCAACACTATGATAGTTCCAAATGAGAATGTTGATATCTGCAAATATGAAGGCTTCGATCGTGAACCCGAATCAAATCATATATACCGTGAATTCTTAATTTATAAGTAGGTTATTAGTTGTACGTTGTACATGCGTTATTCTATTTTTAATGAAAGAGAGCCGTGAACTTCACGAGGGAAGCGCAGTATGTACTACGTGTCATGGACATGAGTTCAGAATTGGAGATATTATCGTGATGATCAAGCAAACCATTGATTAGTTAAATGGTTAGGAACGTAATAAGAATTGATTAGGGAGACTTAACTTTAGATTTCAAAATATATTAACCTCAATGGTGACAGCTTAATTAAGCTAAATACATCGGATATGCTTTCTAACAAACACGTTTGACATTGTTTCCATGGTATAAACCCAAGAAAGAAAGCTCTTGGAAGTGGATAGGCCTCAGAAATTTCCCTAAATCATGCACCAAGTTAAAATCATTTTACCATAACAATGAAAGGGAGCCGTGAACCTCACGATGAAAGTGCGATATGTGTCATGGACCACAGTAAACAGCAGGAAATATTAACGTGATGATCAAGCTGACCGCTTATTAATTAAATGGTTAGGAACGTCGTAAGAATTGATTAGGGAGACTTAACTTTAGACTTCAAAATATATTAACCTCGACGGTGACACGATAATTTAGCTGAAACATAAGATATTCTTTCCAACAAAAAGCGTGTTTTACATTGTTTCCTGGTATAAACCCAAGAAAGAAAGCTCATGGATGTGGATATGCCTCGGAAATTTCCCTATATCAAACTCAAACTACCCTGTCTAAATTGCTAATGTGTATTAATCTTAGCGTCTTATACCGCCCGTTTTCCTCATAAAATGCAATTTATCTCACTTATCAATTACGAGGGCTATTATACTATAAACTATTAGAGGTATTAACGGTTTATTTTACTTTCTTGCAGAGATGACCAAGGAAGTGAAAGTGATTTAAGTTGATTTTAGAGAAAATGACACAAATGGTCTCTGAACTTTGTCCCAACGTGCAATATGGTCTATGAACTTTAGCCTAATGTGTAATATTGTCTCTGAACTTTTAAATTGTTCGATGTGGTATCTGGACTTTTGGTACATGTTCAATTTAGTCAACGGACTATATGAAGATGTTCGGTGTTGTCTCTGAACTTGAATTAATGGAAGGACAACTTAAACATATTCATATGGTTAGGGAATAAATTGAGCATGTACAAAAAATTAAGGGACCATATTAAACAAATTAAAACGAGCAACAATAAGGGATCCTTAGGTGTAACCTCTAGGCGAAAATTGCAAAAAGAGGTGCCCTTGCTGATTATTTCTAAAATAGTAGTACTAGAAGATAAAATCACTTGTCACATTAAAAGCTACAATGCAAAGTCCATTGTGACTGTTTTGTTTTGTTCCTTTTAGAAGTAGATTTCAGATGATGCGAGGTAAAATAAAAGGTAGATTAGGTTTTTATGTCTCAGATTATAAAAATTTACTCTGGTAACCATACTATTTGACGGACTAAGGATGTTCTCCTATATATTATGTCGGAGAAAATTATCAAAAAAGTCCTAAACCTTTTGCAATTGTGCCAATTCAGTCCTAAACCTTTTTTTTTTTGCCAATTCAGTCCTAAATCTTTTGCAATTGTGTCAATTCAGTCCATCCGGCCACTTTTGGCCGGCTGGCGCTGACGTGGCCGCCGGCCAGCTGACGTGGCGCCGGCCGGCGTCCACGTGGCAATATTTTAATTTTTTTTATTTTTTTCGAATTTTTTTTCCTTTTTTCTTTTTTTTTTCTTTTCCTTCTCCCCCCTGGCCTGTCCGGCCAGGGGGGAGGCTCGTCGGCGAGGGCTCAGCTCCCGCGAGGCGAGCTAGGCCCTCGCCGCCGCCGGGCGAGCTCCGCCTCGCCCGGCTCCGGCGAGGCGGAGCTCGCCATGGGCCGGGCGAGCTCCGCCTCGCCCGATCCGGCGAGGCGGAGCTCGCCATGGCCGGGCGAGCTCCGCCGCCCGCATCCGGCGAGGGGAGCCTTGGCTAGGCGAGCTCCGCCTCGCCGCCGCTAGGCGAGCCTCGCCCGGCCATGGCGAGCTCCGCTTCGCCCGGATCCGGCGAGGCGAGCCTTGGCCGGGCGAGCTCCGCCCTCGCCGGATGCGGGCGAGGGCCCGGCTCGCCATGGCCGGGCGAGAGCTCCACCTCGCCGGAGCCGGGCGAAGGCCCGGCTCGCCATGGGCGGGCGAGCTCCGCCCTCGCCGCCGCTAGGCGAGCTCCGCCTCGCCGGGAGATGGGCGAGCGGAGCTCGCCAACGGCGGCGAGGGCCGGCTCGCCTCGCCGGAGCCGGGCCCTCGCCGGCGGCGAGGGTCGCCCTCGCCGAGATCGGGCGAGGGCCGCCTCGCTCGGCGCCGGTGTAGGGCGAGGTC